CAAAAAGTGCATTGTATCCCAGTGTGATGAGTTTATTGTCTTGACTCTCAAGGATCTAATAAGTGCATTACATCCTTTAGTAAGCCATTCAAGAGACTAATGTCCCCTGAACTGCTTTCCTGAGCAATTGATGCATTGCTGTTGAAGCCAGAGCTGGACAGACCTTCAGTCACTTTGAGGCTCAGTGTCTCAGTGACTCTGCTGCCTGGCGTCGTTCCACAGCAGAAAATGTCTGCCAGAAACGGCTTCTCTGTCCTGAGAGAAACACACACACACACACACACACACACACGCACGGTTTATGTGAATGTGTGTTTGAGCTAGAAGTGCAGTAAGGCCTTTAAATACACTGTACCAGGTGAAAGCTCTCTTGTCGCTGCAGCCACTAACTGGAATAAATATTTTCCTACTTGTATGTGTGAGCTAATTGGCTTTTGCAACACTGTGCCCTCACCCTGACCCTTAATGAAGACCCCGTTCTCTCTCGGTTCAGTAAGCCAGGATTTACTCCAGTTTCATCCGCACCTCCATACCTGGGCGATAGGTAATTGCCACTGACTTTTGACCTGTGAGTGTCAATGCTGCGGGTGCAATTACACTCAGTCCAACTGAAGCTGGAGGTGATGCAATGTTTATGTGGGTCCTGGTTACACTGGTGGTATTGTTTTTGTTAAATAACCAACTTCACGAGCCACTTTATGGTCCTATAATATCGCAAATCAGATTTATTTTGTAATACTTGAGAAAAAGAGGAGGTACATCCTGTGATTAACTTAATGAGATGGGGTATACAGTACAGCAAAGCATTGCGTTTAAGCTCCTAGTAATGAACAAAGAACACTAGTGGTGTATATTGATTGCTAATGTCCTCGTTTGAGAACATAGAGCAGTTTTACAGCAGATTATTATACTGTATAGGAGCTGTGTTTCACGTAGCTAAGCTAATCAATTTTAATCCCTCTTGACAATACTGTAGGGTCATTTACAGCAGTGGTTGCTAACCACCGAGCTGCAGACTGAACCAGACCTCTGAGGAAATGTTAAGATTAATCAGAAAAACTGAATCATAATTCTTTAACTGTATACTCTTCTGTCTTCTCTCTTCACTCCCTGTCATGCCCTCAGCAACAACATATTGATTTTAAACTAAAGTGCATCCTTAGCACATGAGGTCATCAGTTTGTCATCATCCACTTCCTCTCAGTTTACTGTGTTAGCATGCTAATATTTGCTTTTAAGCACTGAACACAAAGTACAGCTGAGGATGATGGGAAGTTTTGCAGGTATTTGGTCACAAACCAAAAAAGTTTGACCTGATTATGGTGCTAGATGAAAGGTTATTGGATCAGAGTCACTTTAATTCATCCTTGGAGGGTGGGCAATGAATGTCTGAACCAAATTCAACAGCAATCCATCTAATAGTTCTTGAGACATATCACTAAAAAACATGAAGGTCAACTTCTCGGTGGTACTGGAGTAGGGGTGTCAAGTACACGGCCCGTGGGCAAGAACCTGCCCACCAAAGGGTCCAATCCAGCTCACTGGATGACTCTGCACACCTAATATTGATGCACATGTGAAGGCTAAAAGTGCTTTCAGACCTTGAGTTGTCTTGCTTCGGTCCGAATCAGGGACTAAATTTGTAAGAAAGTTGTGCTCTCCAGCAGCATGTACAAGCGGACCAGATCAAATGACTTGTGCGAGAAAGCTGCTCTTGATTGGTCAGAATTTCCATGTGGGGAAAAATCCAGGAAGTAAACCAAACGTTGAAGAAGAGTACACTTGCAAGATAAATGTGACACTTTCTAATGTCACAATGGAGGGACAACTACGCAGGTTGATTTTAGCGCTGCTCATCATTTTTAGTTAAACCATACAGTTTGAATTTGGTCACAGTTTGAAAAAGAGGCGCGGCTCCAACTAGAAAACAATGTTTTGATGCATTGGATGTGCTGAATGAGCATATTAAGGCAGTACAGGAAGAGGTGCACATTAATAATCCTCCAGGACTGTAACATGCTCATGTTTAACCCAAACAATGTGTCATGTGACTGCAGTTGGTTCGGATCGAGGTCGGAACACATTCTCACCACAAATGAACGACACCAGAGTTTGTTTGTAAGCGGACTGAGACCTTCTTGAACAGGTGGTGTTTTGTTGCCCACCCAAGTGTGGTAGCTGTGTTCACACCTGCCCAAACAAACCGTGCTTAGGGGGCAAACGAACTTGAGTTTGATTGAACCCAACCAAACAGGGCAGGTGTGAAAGCACCCTGAGTGGTGCCAGGTTTCAGGAGCAAGTTAAACAGTGAGTAGTCTACTTCATGTAAAATGCTATCCAGAGGCTTTTCCAACCTGACCAGAAAACGGCCCTCTGAAAAAACACAATGAATACTTGTTGTGGTCACGTTCAAAGATATTAAACATTGTGCAAAACTATTGTCAGTCAGCAGCTTCACAACAGAAGGAATCTGTGTCGGACTTCTATCTTGAAGCAACGTTGGTGGAACAGTATTGCAAAGACACTGACATTTTCTAATCGTAAATGGCTTTTGAAGCAGGGGATAACTTAACTTAGCTTCCTCGATAGCTTCCACTTTAGTTTGGTTTGGTGATGCCAGCATTACTACACAGGAGTGGAAATGTATGGTAATATGCACATGTAATGACAGAAAGAATTAGACTGAGTGAATGTGGAAAAACTGACACCTGACTTTAAGACACCTCAGGCTGTTCTTCATCTGTTATGTAAATATTTGAATTATTTCAGATTATACTTCTTTACACTAATAGAAAGGAAAAAATGTGGAGGTGTTGCTATTTATAGCAGTGGTTTCCAACTGGTTGGTCGTGATCCAAAAGTGGGTCACTGGTCCAAATTGAATGGACCGCAAGTGACTCGTAAACATGTCAAGTTTGTAAAAAACACACTTTATTTTAAAGTACAGTGACTGTTTTGCACAAAGCTTTTATTTTGAAGTCCCATTTCCTGCTGGATAGTAAGTCAATAACAGACAGCTACTTAACAGAGACAACAAACTAGCTTGCCAACATGGCCAAACTCTGTTATGACACTGAATATAATAAACTGTGTGGACCTTGAACTAATGACTAAGGAGAAATCTGGACCCTGTGACTGCACGAGCAGGGAACCACTGATTTATAGATTGTTATGCAATCGCTTTACTGGCTCGGCCATCTCAAGGTCAAATTGAGCTGTACGTGTCCCATGGACTAAAATAAGTTTGACACCACTGCACCAGAGGAACTCAGGGTGGTGCTGGTGGTGCTGCCAAGAATAGTCAGAGAATAATCAAAGACACCTGAGTTTATCCATGAGGGACCTTGAATATATGTAGCGAATGTAATGGCAATCAATCCAGTAACTGTCAAGATATTTCATTCTGATCCACACATTTCAGCCTGGTGGTGGCGGTGTTGGAGAGTCACTCGTGGAGCAACATTTCATCCGCCACATATCCAACCACAAGCTTCATCACTTCTTTGTAGCTGCAGCTGTCCACGATTAAAATCCAGTTTTGGTTGTTTAGCCAGTGCAGCGACCTCTGCAGTCGAGTAGGGCTCACCTTTGGTAAGGTGTATTTCCTGGAGCTTCACGTTGTTGTGCTGTCTTTTGTACTCGCCGAGGTGTTTCAGACCGTGTTTTTTGCGATATAAAGAGTTTAAGTCCGACTACCTACAGCAACAGTGTTCTTGTCATCTTACCTCCCGACAAAACTTAAGTAATGGGAATATTTCCAGTTGCTAAGGGAAGCATTTCCAACTAGCTTGCTGCTTTGTGACGTTTGTCCGCAGCATGACGATTACTAAAATCAGTCCGTTGCTGCGATGTTGTATTTCAAGTCAGTCCTGATGTGATAACGAAAGTAACGTAACAAGTTGTTTGGTTTTGGGGTAATTGTACTATTATTACTGAAATTTCATTTGTTATTAGTTACACTACTCGTTACTGGAAAAAGTAATATTATTACTGTAACGCGTTACTGCCTAACACTGGTGGTGGCGCTACAGGAAAAGTCAGGGATCACTAAGGGTCGGCAGGCTTCATCCTCTGGGGACCATGAATGTCTCTACAAAGTTTCAGGACAATCTATGTAGTAGCTGTTGAGATATTTCACTCTGGGTCAAAGTGGTGGACCAGCCTACGGAACAACTCTGGAGGCTGTCATTAGCATAGCTTTAAGATACGTCAGAGATTTGACAAAAAGTTTCTTTGTTTAGAATTTCTAAGCATGTATTTGAAGTTTGTGGGCAATTGCAGATTCCACGACTGCATGCAAATCAGCGTGTGGGTGTGTGTGTTTGAGTGTGTGTGTGTGTGTGTGTGTGTGTGTGTGTGTGTGTGTGTGTATGTGTGTGTGCAAATATGAATGTCTTTGTCCTAAATCCATTCCTATTCTTCACACTCTTGCACTTGTGAATAAATGCCGGCCCAGGAGAAAACACTGAATTGTAGGTGGTGCACTGCTGCATCCTCTGTTTGAAAAGCAATAAAAGTCCTTATTGGAGTGTAAAATATGAAGGGAACAACACAAAACAACGTAACAAAGAGAAATAATGTTTCAACGGTGTCAAGAATTTGAAGGCACTTTGCGAGTACACACTGTTTCAATAACCTCCTGTACTCAGGCCTTTCCTTTCCCAAGCTCCAATACAGACTCATTAATAGCACCTCAGGGAATTTCGGGATAAAGGCTCAACCATGTCTGACCCCTCAAGTGTTCAGAAATCTTTCTTTCAGGAGGATGAGGGTAAACAATGTCTGTTGTTTAGGTAAACCGGATTTCTTATAGCAGCAATAGTCAATTGAAAGGCACTGATAAATCAGCTAATGCAGGAAATCAGCGTCTCCGAAAGCATCTTATCTCTTAGAGTGCAGACGGTACTTGATATCCTCTGGGGTCACACGTACTATAGGGCCGTGCAGTGAATTACTTCAGCCGTGTGTGTGTGTGCATGTGTGTGTGCGTGAGCTCAGCACATGACAGAGGGGAGGAGAGAGTATTGTAGGGGCCCAGCACTAAGCCTCCCACAGCCAATAAGAACTTGACTGACCTCCACTTTTAGCCCCATAGTGTCCAGATCCCATCCAGCTGTTTGATGTGGACACTGAATGAACTCAACTTTTCAGCTTCACTTAACTCACTTTACATGAGGTCTGAGGCTGAGGTGCCACTGGCAACTTTTGGACTGTCACAGTGGATATAGACCTACAGATAACGTCTGGAGTATCTGTGAAACATATGCAGTGACTTCTTTTTTTTCTTTTTCATTTCATACATATTCAGTGATATTCAGTCCCATTCAAAGATGTCTGCAGCGTGTTAACGTGCCTCTGAGACTGCTGTTTATCTGCACAGCTCATCTGGGCCTGTTCGAGAGCTGCTGCCAAGGTAAGACACTTGATACACAGACACTATGCACATTTAACATTTAACAGACATCAATTTAAAAATGATTACTTGCAAAAATAGGCTATTTTCAGCTGGATATTCATGAAAGATGTATTACTTTGTCAGGGCTATAACAATACTTATTATGTGAGTGTGTGATTTCTCTGAGCAAATATTTAACAAGCTATTCTCATCTATAATTAATCAGACAAATTTGCCAGATCTAATAAGTGGTATTAGAAACCTGGGGGTCATAAAAGGCCCAAAGCATGGCTGCAGGGAAGATGAATGAAAACTGGGTTTCCTGCAGCACAAGAAATTAGGCAAAGATGTAGCAGTTCCTGTTCTTTCAAGATTATTCAAGCGACTTTTGTTGTGATAATTTCCAACCTTACTGTCAAGAAAAGAAACAACAATTAGATGTAGAATGTAATAAATTAATTTTCTTTGACTCACACTTATTAATATTAATCATATTAGCTGAGGGACCTCCTGCTGTTTTGTCCTCAAATCATTAACTCACATTTGCAGAAACTGCATTGTTTCAGTCTTTTATTTTGTATAATACAGGTCAATATTATTACTGTATGAATAATGAACATAGCTACCGTGACGTCACCCATTGGTTTCTGGACTGCCATTTTGAAGCCTTAAGTTCGGCCTTTTGGCTGTCACCATCTGCACATGGGAGACATTCTTGTCGGCGTTCTCCAAGAAACCTTTTCTGACAGAAATCGAATCCTTTTTAAGCCAAACCGTGACTTTTTCTAACTTTAACCAAGAGATCCCTTTCTGGTAGAAAGCCCTCAAGGAACTTTTCTTCTAGCTGCTCACCGTCTTGGCTTTTTGGAGCCAGAAATGACCAAATTTATACACAGAGGTTAGACATCTCATCTCACAGACAACCTGTCACTCAAGTGGCCTGCCCCCTAAATATGTGTAACTTTGGACATTGATAAAATGTTAACAGGCGAGTAAAGTTATCATGAATGTTGAATTAGCTACAGAGACTAAAAACATTTTTTGTACCAGGCTGTTAACACGTTTATTTCTGCTGTAAAGTTGGGCATTTTAACATGGGACCAGGTGTGTTTTGCCTTAATGATGGTCAAGTCCAACAACAGGGTTTTATCGCCTCACATACCAAGTCCAGAGTCTCAACCATGCTATGACTAGGTGACTCATGTTAATCAAATTAATTCCTTTATCTTATAAGCAGTGACACCAAATCCTCTTGTGTCTGTACTCCTCTGCTGAGCCTGCCCTTCTTTGTGCGGGTATATCTGTGTTGTCAAGTGGCACTTTGACTGCTTTATTTGGAGCTTTTACAGTGTGACGGGGGTTAGCGTCGCTGCCTTCGCCCATTTGTCTACTTATTTCATTCTCCTGCACTCGTCTAAAATAAATCAACTCTGCAGTTTTCACTGAATTGTTTGACGCCTTTCTCTCCATTTTAAAGCAGAGCAATCAATCCTTAGTATGAAATTATCTGTTTTATTCATTATTTCAGCGGTTTTGCCTTTTTATCTGGAGCCCTGTCCTTCTTAACTCGTCACTCCATTCATCATCTAAAGTCAACCACTGAATTTTTCATTCTTTAAAGAACACAACGTTGTCTCTGCTGCCACTTAAGAACATTTCCCCAGCATACTGTCCTATCTGGGAGGCCGCCTGGTGGATGTGTGGTGACTGTATTCAGACAGTGAAAATCTTTCAACTGGCCTTATGTTTGTGCAGAACCTCAGTTATTATAGTAAGAAATGTGACAGGTGTGAAGGAACAGCCACCTTTTCTATGTATCAGAGCTGACAACAGTTTCATAACTGTTGCAATAAAGCACCTCATGACAACAATCATATTCATTCTTTAATAAAGTCAAGGATGCAGTAGTAGAATTAAAGGGAAATTTCGGTTTATTTCAGCCTGTCTCCTATTGTCCTAAATTTGGTTCAAGTGACTAGTGACATAAAAATAATAGTTAGCATGTTAGCCATTAGCCTAGATACAGCCGTAGCTTCAGACCTGTTAAAATGTAAGTGAACGGGCATCCCTTCAAGTACAAAGTTAGTCCACTAAACAAGCTTTTTTTTCCACAAAGACCGCCTCATATCGTTAGGATAAATGTCAGAGAACATATAGTGGTGTGCTGCCATGTTTGTTTACAATGTAGCTCTGCTTTCCAAAGCGTGGCCGAAATATCGCGAGAACAAGCAGCGATCTCATAGCGTGCCTGAACAAGGGCAACAGCTGGAAGGCAGAACCGGACGGTCGCCTGAACAGAGGAGGAGGAGAGAGAGAGAGGCGCAACAGGTAACGTTAGAGGATGAGAGGGGAGGAATGGCTGCCACAAGGCTGCGTAGCTCTGGAGATTGGTGGTGTAACGTTTCCTGTGAATGCTGTACCCCAGTGCCCACAGAAGAGGAATGCCTCTGTTGCAAGGAATGGGACCGGTTGCAGCCTTATTTTCAAGGTCTGGATGTGTCCGAGGACGAGACACCTCCACCTGGAGTAACGTTAGTATCCAGCTGGGCTTTATCTAGAGCTGGCGAGATATATTTCGGCCGCGTTTTGGAAAGCAGAGCTAGAGGGATAAACAAACATGGCAGCACACCGGTAAGGTAAGACAACGCGTTTACATGTCGTTTTCTATATGTTCTCTGACATTTATCCCAACAATATGAGGTGGTCCTTGTGGAAAAAAAAGCTTGTTTAGTGGACTAACTTTGCACTTGAAGGGATGCCCGTTCACTTACGTTTTAACAGGTCTGATGCTACGGCTGTATCTAGGCTAATGGCTAACATGCTAACTGTTATTTCTATGTTACTAGTCACTTGAACCAAATTTAGGACGATAGGAGACAGGTTGAAATAAACCGAAATTTCCCTTTAATAATATTCAAGAGGTATAAATGAGACAGAGGGATGTTTTCTCAGCTTAACATTAAAACTGGAACGAGGTAGTGCACATGCTGATTGCTAAGTAACATCACTTAGGTTAATTGTGTAACCAGAATAGACGCCGGTGATATCTAACAAACCTAATCATTTGAAATGAAAAAGTTTAACATCATAAGGGTATGTACAGATTAAACAAATATAATAGCCTAACCTATGTGTTAATTGGAACTGTAGTATCTTGTGCTGTTATTTCAGGACAAGCTAAAAAGAAATCTGAATGCCTTTTATTGTCATTGTATTATCTTCGCCATCTTAACCTTATCTTTTCGAGTACAGCACACATGGTACATAATGTTCCCAAGAGTTCCACCTCATCTTGATTATGGTGTTAAAGTAAAAGTAAAAGCCTGACACAATTAACATGCTTCTGTTATCAGTTGAAGTTACTGTAGTCTTAGCAAAACATACCAACAAATCCTTGATCATCCAGTGTGAAACATGGAGCTGGGTGTTGTTTAAATCAGTGGTTCCCAACTGGTCCAGCCACGGGGTCCAGATTTGTCCTTAGTAATCAGATCAAGGTCCACACAGTTTGATATGTTCAGTGTAATACTTGCGTTTGGCCATGGCGTCGAGCTAGTTTGCTGTCTCTGTCAAGTAGCTGTCTGTTCTTCACTCACTCTACAGCAGGAAACACCACTTCAGAGTAAAAGCTCTGTGCTGGATATTCACTGTACTTCAAAATAAAGTGTGTTTTTCCTGAACTTGACACAGCAGTCCACTCAGAATGGACCCTCGACCCACTTTTGGACTGCAACCCAATAGGTGGGAACCACTGCTGTTAAAAAATGACAATACCTGTACCCTAAAGGTGATACTGATACCAAATAAAGCTCTTCATTTTATGTCTTTTTTATCCTCCTACCTTAGTCGATATACTATTATGTGAATGGGAAGCATTCAGTTGTGTAGAACGCCACCACCCTTCTCCATCCAAATGATTTTTACATAAATACATTTTGAAAGTGTTCAAATTATTAGAATATTAATTAAATAACTGTATTAAAATGTAAAATGCTGAAATGCCAATCCCATCAGATAAGCTTTCCTTGATTTGACTGTATGGGTTGCAGTTGCTGGGGTAGTGGGCCAATCCCATGTCACATTAAATTGAAGAATGCATGCAGTGATTGGCTGCGAGCAAAACAATACAAACAGTCATTTTTTTCTAGATCTGGCTACCGAAGGACCAGGGGGTATCGTTTGACTGGAGAGGTTTACATGTTAGTGGGTCATGTCGTCAGTATGTTAAAGCAGTGGTTCCAGGCTCATTCTGAATGGACCACAAGTGACTCGCACACATGTCAAGTTTGTAAAAAACATACAGTGAGTACAGTGAATTTCTGGCCCAGAGCTTTTATTTTGAAGTGCTGTTTCCTTCGACAGCTACTTGACAGAGACAGAAAACTAGCTCGACAATATGGCCAAAAGCAAGTATGACGCTGCATATATTAAACTGTGTGGCCCATGAACTAATGATGAAGGAGAAATCTGGACCCTGGGGCTGGAGCAGTTGGGAACCACTGCCTTAAAGGTTTCTAGTACAGATACCCAGCTCTGAACATACAGCATATAAACACAGCAGTTTGTAGGTTATCTATATGCCAATATGCCTTGTCTGGCTCAAGTGGTTACCATCTATTTATTCCAAGTGACCCTTAATGTCTGCATGAATAAATAAAAAACAAAAGTTGCTATTTTACCCCCATTACCTACTGTATCTGTAGAATAATGCAGCAGGCACATTTACAGCTGCATAGCCGCAGCTAAAATCCCAGCTCAATAACAAAAGTTCTTTAACACATTAAATATTCACTACTCGCTGCACACAACTGGCTTATCCAATAAGTTTTCAGAGCACTAAACCTATTCATCAACCAAATCAAGTCCTCCTCGGATGAAAAACACTATATCATCAGCGCCCTGAGCTACTGAACAGTGTGAATTCAACCAGTGTTCATGGTCTGATCGATGTTTTCTCTGGATAGTCTCCCCTGTGTAAACAATACAGTAAGTTGTTTGACTCTGCAGATGGACTCTTATTCATCACCTCTAAAGTGAGACTGTGGGAGAGCAGCGGGTGGGAGCTCAGTGGATACACGCAGAGAACATCAAAACAAAGGAAGGCCAAAAATGGCATCCTTAATCTTAAACCCTTTTATCGAGTTAGGGAGGTATTTTTGGACAATGCTGACCTCTTTCCAAAAAACATATGAGGTATCAGCAAAGCAGAGGCACTCCGCTGTACTTATATGTCAGTATACAGAGCACAAACTGTATTTAGCACATGTTGAGGTGCATTTATTCAGCAGTAGAAGTAAATTTGATCAGTCGGCACTGATGAAAAGACATACCGGTCAGAGGGCATGAGACAGATGGAAAAAGACAAAGATTGATGCTGTCTGACAGCAAGCAGCAGATATCTTCTACACAGGAGGTAAAATACTTTTTAAAGAGTTCAAACAATGTGAGAAGCACTTAATGGGTCTTAAAGAGATTAAAAAAACTGGCTATAATTGAAGGGCAGTTAAAAGAAAAAATAGTTAACACTTCTGTAAAAGCAATTTTGTCATACTTTGCTCTCCTCTTTCATTGTCTCTTTGAAGAACACAGTCTTTTCTCCTCAGCTTTGAATCATTTGACATCAGCAGTTCAGGATCAAATCTTAACATGAAAACCTTTTTAAACAACATTTAACTTTTAAACTGGTGCACACCATCTTCTTCCATTCATGGTCATTGAAGCACAGCATGTATACCCCTATACAGTAGAAGGAGCTTAAGAGTTATAAGGCAATGTGTTGGAGAAGAAAAGATAAATGATTTATATGGAATTATCTAATACCTATATGATGATATAAGTTAGTCAGTCACCTTGACAGCCCAGGTCTCAAAAGGTTGTCTGTGAAAATAGCTAAAATGAATCACATCTGAAACACAGATCACAGCTGTGAGTCACATCTACCACCTCGGATGATGGTAGAGTATGTAGGCATGCAGGTGTTAGCTAATTAGTGATCCTGTTACATTGGCAATTAGACCGTATTAACAATATCAACAAACTTTTGCTACAGGAAACACCCAAAGTGAACTCTTAATGATACACAGTCGGAAAATAGTTTTTAACGGAAAGATCCTTCTTTTCTGAAACCTTTGTAAAATGTCTATGAATTCAATTGTAACGTTGATTCTATGGTAAAACTGATTTACATTTATTCTGTGTTAAGTCTTTTTAATTCTTCTTCTTATTGCCCAATTAGATATCAGCTAATGAAATTCTTAATAACTATTTGCCATGCTCCTTATGCATGATTAGATCATCTTGAATCCAGGCTTCCAGGAACGCCACGCAGCCTTGCTACCAGTTTTTCTCAGTGGCTACTAGCGCTACTATGACGATAAAATCTCCTGTGGCCCACTGTGCGGAGTTTCCTCATGTCAGTGTGGGTCTTCTCAGGGTATTCCGGCTTCCTCCCCCAATCAAAAGACATGCAGGTTAGGTTAATTGGTGACTCAAAATTGAGCGTGAATGGTTGTCTGTCTTTATGTGTCAGCCCTGTGATGTTCTGGCGACCTGTCCAGGGTGTTCCCCGCCTCTCATCCAGTGTCAGCTGGGATAGGCTTCACTGAACTGCAACCAAGGTCAAATCTGACTCTTCCTATCATGAATTTTTGTACCATTGACATCAAGTCAAGAAAAGTGATTTAAAAATCTGTGATGTCATCATAATATTAAGTCCATAACTGTGGGACCTCACAGGCGGGGCCTGAGGGGGGAACAACGCTGTGCATTTAGAGGGCCACATGCCCTGAGAGTAAACCCTAGAAACAGTAACTGAAACTGTATGTACCATACAAGCAGTTGTCATCGGACTGAGCAGATGCCATCTTAGGGTCCAGTATCCAGGTCTAATAATATAGCTGTTGAATCCCAAGTGAAATTCTTGTTGACATTTGCCCTTCACAGAGCTGATACAAGAATGTTCTGAGCTCTTGATGTCAAACATTTCAAAGCTGAGAAGTTTAAATAACTGAATTTGTTTTGTTTTTTGCTCCACAGGTCCTCATTTCTGTAAAACGTGTCGAAATCAAAGAGTTTTGTGAGAGAAAATGGCGCCCGCTGTCGGTGGTCCTGTAGGCTACACACCACCTGAGGGTGGCTGGGGATGGATGGTGGTAGCCGGGGCCTTCATCTCTATTGGCTTCTCCTATGCCTTCCCCAAGTCCATCACTGTCTTTTTTAAGGAGATTGAGGCGATCTTCGATGTGACCAGCAGCCAGGTGTCCTGGATCTCTTCCATCATGTTAGCCGTTATGTACGGCGGAGGTGAGCTACGACCCAAAATACAACCTGCCTAATATGGGTTTGTTAACTCTTGACATTTAGCACGTCAGGAAGATTTACCGATGGAATCAATTCTTGGCTCTTAGCACAACTGTAAAAGATTTATTCCTGGAGTGCTAAAAGCCGATCCATTGCTCAAGCACAGAGTTGCATTGTTTCCTTCCAGCTTCAGTCAAAGAGGCCACAAATTCTCAGCGTTATAGTGTGGCTTAAATCAAACATTTCATACTGAGATAAAACAATACTGTAACTCCTCGACTGAAGTGTTGTTAGGAAAGTGCAAACATTATCCGTCTCTGGAGAACATGAATCGGTTCAAGCCTTGTGTACGGGCTTATTGTTTTCTCCCTACGCTTCGAGAGCGGGAGACCACCGGGGGTTTGGTTGTGTTTCTGCACTGTTGAGATGAGTGAGGCGCTGCGTGATGTCACAGGTCAGGCCAGGTGATGATGAAGTTGTATTCATGTGCGTGATATTCAACAAGGAGAGAACAGAGTTCAAAGGAGTTCTCGTCGTCCCTCAAGACCGTCTGCTCTGAAATCAAAACACTGCAGTTCTCTTTACTCTAACGTGTGATAACCTGGAAATATGATGACTTAGGCATCTTTTTCTAATCTCAGGGAGGTTTTAGGAAAGTTGCTTCAGTGTGCCAAACTGATGTGATGTGGAAAATATTAAACTATATGAAACTACCTCTATATATCAAATGTTCTGTTCGAGACCATAGTGGAAAATGTATTTACAAGATCTGCAAGCAATAAAATACAGTTACTGCTTGGCCAGCATTGCATCCATTGCATAGTGTTGAACATTACATCTAAACTTATCTTAACTGTATATCATATTTATAGATATAAGTTGCCAAATGTCTGCCATTAACTTCAACAGTATGACATGTTAAAGGCGAGCAGAGCTTCACTTTCAAGTGTAACTTTGGGATTTTTAACCTTGACTCAGTTTTCTGATGCTTTTGAGTTTAAGGGAACAACGGAAACAACAGTTTTTGAAACTGGTCCAGTAGAGAGAGAGGGCTACAACCAGCAGCAGTGAAACAGGCTGCAATGTAATCCCCGTGGGCAGTTGAGCACCATAAATTACCACTAGGAGCACTTGTTTTTGCCACTGACAGGCTCAAATTATCATTGCAAGTGTGCAACAACTTATGGAAAGGATCCCTAGAGCTACAGACTTTATGTTAAAGAGTTAGATCCTTTTTGTGCAACCAGAAACAGCCCTGAAATCACCATCGTCAGACTCCATTTAAATAAAGAGTAATGTATTGTGTAAGGAGCCAGCATAGTTTCACAGTTAACTAGATACTAAAGGGTTTATTTCAACAGAACCAGAGTTGGAGATTGCTGCAACAGTGCAAAGATCAGGGTGGCTGCGAATCCTTAAAAAGCCTCAAAATGTCTGAAATACACATTTACCAATAAAAGGCCTTAAAAAGTATTAGATTGGAGTCTTACATTTTTGGTGTTGGTGCTATAGGAAACATAATCTTAACAGAAGGGAAACACTATTTGACGAGGTACCAGACTTCGACACAACACCTGTATGTGCCCAGTGCCCCTATTTTTTGCCCCCTTAAGGCACTTAGATCACGTAATGAGTCTGCATTGTTAAACTAGGACCTTGCAAGCTATGAAAAATGGGGAAATGCAAGTGAAAGGACAAAAATCTTAAAAGAATAACAACAATTACTCGTGGTGAATGAAGCCAGTACCAAGCAAACTGCACTGTATGTCAAAGGTGTTTCAAAGGTGGTAAAATGGGGTCTAGACAAACACACTTTGAAGAATGAGATAGTCGTATGTTCGAGGACCGTCTTTATCTTATGATGCTCAAGAAAAAAGACGGGCCCTTGAAGAAAAGGGGCATCACACGGGAGGAAAACATCTCTCTTCTTATTGTAATCCATTGCTATCACCCACCTGTGCTCATTTATTAATCAAGGTTGAGTGATACCCCCTACCAAGCTTATAAAAACATTGCTTGACTCCTGTCCACCCTTTTGCACCCTGATGAAGACCTTAGCGTCGAAACCAGTCTTAGTTAACTTAATTCAAATGCATCTCTTCCTGTTCCACATGAGTGCCCAATGTTCATTTTTTCTTCCCATGTAGTAAAATGGGGATCAGGGCAGTGGAATCGCACATGCAGAGCTGTGAGCACATAAAGTATCGTCCGGGTCATTTTTACTATTCATTTTGAACTGACATCAATGTGTTTACTTGGAAAGAGTATATTTTCGCTTTTGGTGTGTATTTCTATCGTAAGTTTAGTCTTAAATTTCATTTAAAGTGGTATTAAATTTACCTGTGCATACCCTGAAAGATGAACCAAGACAGCTTTTGGGAATTCATTTGTTGCTTCCCTTGACTTTGAATGAAGTGTTTATTTCAATGGAGTCTGGTGGGTCTGACGATAACAACTCCAGGGCTGTTTCTGTTTAAACAAAAATGATCTACTGCTTTCAGAGAGTAATATTGCTTTAGGGATCCTTTCCTTAAGTTATTAGACATCTAGAATAACAATTTGAGCCTGTCAGTGGCAAAACAACCAGTTTTGTAGACGTAAATTGACGGTGCTCAGTTGCCCACTGGGACTACATTGCATCCAATTTTTCTTCTGCTGGCCACCGCAGTTCTGCTTTCTATTAGACAACTTTCACAAGTTGTTGTTCCTGTCCTAACCCGTCCTCCCAGTTATGAGTCACAGTGGACTCAATATGCATATTCAGGTGTAACACTTTTAATTAATGCAAATGTTTAGGTCTAAATATACACAGATGAAAGCAAGCTATGCATGCTAATTGAAAGTAAGTGAGGAAATGTTTGTCAGCGCTGTGAGGAGATGACAGCCGAGTCAGTGGCTGTATGTTAAAATTCTGAGCACATCAGCAGGAGAAGTTCATTAACAACCTACTGTTGCGTACCTCTGTACTCCTTCAATTTTTGATTCATTACATTCATAATATTCTACATTGGTTTGTCTCCAACCTTTTTATCCTAAGCAACTCTCCCTGCAAGGCGGAAGGAAAGAACTCATTGTTAGTGCGGAGACTGCCTGCATTACAATTTAAAAACCCTTTGTCTTGCACCGTGCTGGCAAATGAGTCTGGACAACCTCTAAACAAAAACTGTCAGTTTCTATTTAGCTTCATTGGGTAGTGCAGGGATTTGGCAGGAAGGCAGAAGTGTCTTCCATGTGGGTCCTCATACTCATTTAGGCCGGTTGTTATACGCCGTACATGGAGATGGTGTTTTGCAACCTGAGCCCTGCGTGCATTTTAGTCATTTGTTTACAAGTCATACTGATTTTTCTTGAATTGGAGTTGAGTTCAAGGTGTGCGCATATGAATAAGGTGATTTACTGTTACCTCATTCTGTCGCTCTTTCTTTGGTGCTCGTGAACCAGGTGCCAAAATTGCAAAAACTGTACTTACAAAGGTATTGGTTCTTATTTTAACCCCATACACACACCAGTCCCATAACCCCCACCCCTACAAACACACACACACTTATACACCCTCCTGCTGGTCTCGACTGTACTTCCAGTCATGATTTTAAACATATTCAGAGCCCATTTAAGAAGAATCCACCAACAAATTACTCCTCTGTCGACTTTTGAGAATCCCTAAAGCAAAGAGATGCTCATTTCATCACAGTTTTCATGGTGTTTCTGACACATCGCATTATTAATGGCATGAGAACACATCTACTGCAGTGCAGCACTGACAGAAATGATTGCAGAAGTTGTCTGAATTTGCTGAGCCACAGCTGTGGCACTGGAGCCCTCTGGTGGTTAAATACACACCTGTGCATCAGTGATTGCAAGGAAATCACCATCTCTCAGCTTTTAATATGTGTGTGTTCATGCATTGTTCTTTGCTCCTCAGGTCCCATCAGCAGCATCCTGGTGAATAAATATGGGAGTCGTCCTGTTATGATTGCAGGAGGATGCCTGTCTGGACTGGGCCTCATTGGTGCTTCCTTCTGCAATTCAGTTCAAGCGCTGTACTTCTGTATTGGTGTGGTGGGAGGTACCTAATTTTAACTTTCTATATTTTTAAGTTTGGTCATGAGTCACTTATTTATTTTTTTACTGTGCGCTGTTGCCATCTAGTGTTCTTCAATGATAAAAGTACCAAGAAACACTTTGAATCTCCAAACATGGTTTAATGCTCAAATCCTTCTTCTTCAACTCCGATATTAATTTATATTTTTTTGTTTTATAAAATGTTTCTCTTAGGTTTGGGATTGGCCTTCAACCTCAACCCTGCCCTCACTATGATTGGCAAGTACTTCTACAATAAGCGGCCTATTGCTAACGGAATTGCCATGGCTGGCAGCCCTGTCTTTCTCTCCACCTTGGCTCCTATAAACACGTGGCTCTTTGACAAGTTTGGCTGGAGAGGAAGTTTCTTGATCCTGGGTGGCCTGCTCTTCAACTGCTGTGTTGCCGGCTCCCTCATGCGACCCATAGGACCGAAACCCAAACCTGCAGAGAAGACCACAGAGAGGATGACTGTAGCACAGAGAATTAACAGCTTCATCGACCTCTCTCTGTTCAAGCACCGTGGCTTTTTGCTTTATATTATTGGCAATATCATCATGTTCTTAGGCCTCTTTACACCACTGGTGTTCCTCAGTAATTACGCAAAGAGCAAAGACATCCCTAAAGAGAAGGCAGCTTTCTTACTGTCTGTGCTGGCCTTTGTGGACATGTTTGCTCGGCCCTCGATGGGCATTGTGGCGAACACCAAGTGGGTGCGGCCCAGAATACAGTACTTCTTTGCTGCCTCTGTGTTGTACAACGGGATTTGCCACATTCTAGCACCAATCTCGGTCGACTACAAAGGCTTTGTGATTTACTCCATCTTCTTTGGGTTTGCTTTTGGCTGGCTGAGCTCAGTGCTGTTTGAGACCTTGATGGACCTGGTGGGAGCCCAGCGGTTCTCCAGTGCTGTTGGGCTGGTCACTATCGTGGAGTGTGGTCCTGTGTTGTTAGGACCCCCTTTGCTCGGTGAGTACATTACTCACTGTACCAATTTTAATTTATTTCTGTGTAGTTACCAAAAGCTTTAAGGGAAACTGTGCTGATTTTCAACCAGGTTTGTTTCAAAGTAATGTGGGCAGTATGTATAAATCAACTGTGGTAAACTGTCCTCCATCTTACCTGCTCATCTCAGCTGATGGTTTTTCGCTGACTGTAGAGCTTTTGCTCAAACTACAGATTGTACTTCTGCCTTTTCGTATGGCCACCACAACTGACACGAAGAGAAGTGGATTGAGAGAGACCCACCCCTTTCTCTTTCTCAAACTCAGACCATACTCAGATCAAACGGTAAATCTAGGCAGTGCTGATCAAATATAAACCAAGATTCTGTTTTCATAATGCCCATTTCTCACGTTTTATAGAGTTGAGTTGAACACTCGGATGAAACGAGTATCTGGTACAGATAATGTACTTTTTACAACTATGAGTACCATACCAGTAAAATGTGTCAATATCCATACTCATGATGAAGAAAAAACTCATCTAGGTAGCTGTGTTTAGTGTTATAGGGTGCTTTCACACCTGCCCTGTTTGGTTCGGTCCAATCAAACTCCAGTTTGTTTGCCTTTAAAGTGCGGTTCGTTTGGGCAGGTGTGAACACAGCAATCACACTTGGGTGCGCACCAGAACATCCAGACTGAGACCTTCTTGAAGAGGTGGTCTCAGCGCAGTTACAAATGAACTCTGGTGTGGTTCATTTGTGGTGAGAACGTGTTGCGACCTCAATCCAAACCAACTACAGTCGCATTACACATTGTTTGAGTTAAACATGAGCATGTTACAGACCTGGAGGATTATTAATGTGCACCTCGCGAGCGAACTCTAGGTCTGAAAGCAGCCTTACTCTTGTGATCAAAAATGATCTGAAGCTTGATTTTGAGATTTTTCAGTAAATACATTGTTAATAAGTAATAAATATAGCAACTGCTGAATAACCAATGTCAATTTCAGGCTTAAAATAGAAATGGCAGAACTAAGCAGTGCTGATCAAATACGAACCATATCTTTAAATGCGTTGCCGATTTCTCGCCTTGGATGTTTTCAGAGACCTATTTTAGCTTACAATTTAACTGTAATTCAAGATCGTTTGTTACCAGCCAGCGGCCATATTGTTTTCTGTGTCAAAACAGACAAGCTCACATTGCGTCATTTATTGGTTGACTGTGGTGCAGTGCATTCTGGTAGTTGTAAGTTTTCAGCCCTTTTCCTCTTTCCTCTGATCATAAAGCAACTTTTAAAGTATTTGCATCTGTCTCCTGCATAGACAGCCCGGTTTTATGAAAAGACCATCTTTCCAGCAGTGACATACTGTACTTCTTAAATGTTGGCAATGACTAAAAACTCTACATTGTCTTTCTCTCTTCACAGGGAAGTTCAAAGACATCTATCACGATTACAAGTACACATACCAGAGCTGCGGGGTCCTCCTCATTATCTCCAGTGTCCTCCTGTTTGTGGGAATGGGATGCAACTATCGACTGCTGGACAAAGAGAAAAAAGAGGAGGAGAGGAGGGCCAGGATGGGAGGTAGAGACGCAAAGTACACCAGGGAGAGTGCTACCAAAGAGGCTAAGACCACAGACGACACCGTCTAATATTATGTACCATCTTAAATTACATTATTGTTAATTTGGTCTGCGAGGCATATCTATCTATCTATCTATCTATCTATAT